AATGTCTAAACGGTTTGTAGGTTATGTTTCAGTCTTGGAAAAATGTGTTTCGTGGTGTAGTGACAATGCCTCCAATGAGTCAATCCCCAACTATGATATGAACGAGATTTCTTTACTTGCTCCCTTTCCTGAGACCTTTGAGTAAGTGAGTGTCTTCTGACTGTATTCTGCTAATAATTCGTATGGAGAGAAAGATGTACCGTATGGGTAGTGTATGGGAAAATTAAAAGGAAGTATTGAATAATGTGAATATACATTTTTTTTGTGTATTAAAATCTAAGTAATCATGTCGTTTGTTTCAAAACTCATTGTCTGTTATATGTAGTAATTATCTGCGCTAACTTTGTATTCTTTCTCTTTAAACGATGTACTGATAGGACCTGATCGGTCATATGTTATTGCAAATAAAAAAAAATAAAAAAAAAAAAACAGATAATGACGAAAATCATTCAAATTACAGTCAAATATTTTTTCACCAATACCTATTACCAATTGATAAGATTGCGCCGTCTTTAAAGCATTCTCAAAAGATAGTTGACTACATTGAAACACTCCAGTCAAAAAAGAACATGTCCGAACGAAGAAAGTACGAACTGGAATATTCATTTCTGGTGATTGCTTCAAATAGATTCTATACCATTCTGAGAGAACGCACGATAGGATACACTGACGCAGAGGCTGAAGTACTTCTGTGGATAAATTATCGTGTCGATGAACAAAATGAGCAATGGCTTCGAGCCATGTACATAGGACCAATATAAAATCACGCCGATGGAAATTATCGTTTATCAAAAGTGCATCGACAATATTGACAAGAATTTGTAGAACTTCTCTATCGAACAAGAGTTGACTTTGGATATGAAGTTGTTTAGCGTCGTCCGTATTGACAATAGCAATATATCGATTGAACAATCCAATTTGTTCAATATATTTCAAATAGCATTGATCGTCTTCGGTAACATTTTTTAAACAATCTTTCAGAAGACAACATGCAGTTTGTTCGATCAAAATCAACGATGTTGTAGAATCCGATGAGCATTAAACTTCATTAACATTAAGAGATGATAAAGTGTCGACTGCCTGATCAAATTTTTGTTGTTTTACCATTTTGCATATATGAAGAAGTTGTTCTTGTATGTTGCAGGCATCCATTTTTTGAATGAGAAGTTTTCGATTTTATGGGTGTGAGTGTGGATGTACTCTTCAACCACATCTACGCCTGCACCCACATCCACACCCACAAATATTTTATTTAATCAAATGCCACTAGCATCATTAATGGATTAATTAGAATTACCAAATAATTCACAGAATCCAATTCTAAGTTCAACAACATTTGATTTAGATATTGAAGCAATACTTGATTTTGAACGAACGACATTTGGAGATTGTTCTTTTGAAATACATGATCTGCCGAATTTGTGATGTGTGCTGTTTTATTATTATTATTTTTTTGCTCTCTCCAGTTTTCCTTTTTTATTTTTCTATCCGGTGACCGTTTCATTATCGTCATATGAATATTTGTTTAAATCCTAACATCGATCATTCCAACAATATCAAACATTTATCCCTTATTTATTATTTGTCACGCATCAAACAATTAAAAGAGAATGGATTATACGTGACATTGACGTCAACGCTTTTTTTGCATTTATTACGAGAAAATAGATTTTGAAATTAAATTCAAAAGGAACGTCTTTATTTTAATTTTTTAATTTATTAAATATAAATTATTCTATTCAGTTGTTTTTCAGGATGAAAATGGAACTGAAAATCATTTTTTCAGAAATATTATTCATTATTTGATGAATTAGAGTAATCACAATTAGGGAGATTTCGATAGAATCGATTTATTATTTTAATATTTAGAAAAATATAGCTACTTTTAATACTGTCCTATATTCCAAAAATTGAAAGATAACGCTGGATATACTTCTGATAGTTGTTCCCATATTCAAAATGAACAACTTACATGATAATGTTTCTTCCCATCATATTAAGCATAATAATAATGTTTGAAAGAGTTTGTTTTGCAGTAGGGATTTATTCATACAGGTTTCTTTTTTAAATTCCAGATTTCATCATGTTCTCAAATCAAGATATATGCAAAGCAGAAAATGTGCCAAATATTTTGGCACACCCGGTAAGTGATTTGAGCAGTAAAAAAAGAACTTCATTGATTTTTTTTATTAATTCAAATATAAAATACCAAATAAAATATTTTTCTAGAAATCGAAAATAAAAAGAGAAAAAACAAATGATTTAGTACCAAATAAAATATTCTGAAGCAAGTCCATCATGAAAACTCGCTTCTCCTATTGGTAATTTACACCAACAAAATGAACGTGAGGTATCACGATCAAGCCATGCTGAGACATATTCTTCACAACATATATACTAAAATTATCATCAATATATTCAAATAAATAAAGAAAAGCAAATTTCTTACATTTCATTTCTCATGAGTTAATTGGTGCCGGTGGAAAAGGAAGAGGTTGAAATGCCTCATTTAATAATCGACGTAATTGAAAAATTGATTTATATAAATTTCAAAAGTGTAACAGATGATTAACAAAAAAAGAAATGATAAAGTACAATATTTCCTTAATTATTTTCTATTATAAAATGTATCCGAGGAAGAATCGTGAATACACTTAAATAAAATTGAGATAAATATTCTATTAAAGAAAAATAAGATCCACGTTTACAACATGTCAAACGAAAATTTCCTTTTTCATTATTTAATGGGATTAAAAATGATGATTATTAATATCCTTTTTTTTTATTGTTGTTCATTGAGTTTGATTAAGAATTTCTTCCTCGACGGTATGAATTTCATCGATATTATTTTGAGAATTTAAATCAATATGATATTCTAAATTTGCCATAAAATTATTTAATCGACGAGTATTCATTTACGTCTTTTATGTCATTTTAAATCTAGAATAAAAAATATTATAAAAAAAGTTTTATTTTTTCGATGTTAATCTTTCAATAACAATAGTTTCTTGAGATATTTCACTCCAATCAAGGTCAATACGAGATGGAAAAGTTGTTATTAATTGTCCTTTATCATCAACAACTCTTGTTTGTTGTAATGTTAATATATGTCGAAAATTTGAATCGTTTAATTTTTTTCCTAATCCAATTCGAAGCATTTCACGTAAAAGACAATCCATAACATAACGACATATTTCCATTGAATGTTCTGATGTTATTTGAATTAAAATTGATTCAGTTGATGAAGTTAACTGAAATGCAAAAATGTCTTTCTAACTAAAGAAAAAAAATTATTTTTGATCTTTTACTTTGCTTCGTTCATCATCGGTTATTGGTGGAAGTGATATGATATGATGGTTTTGATCAGATAAACAAGGAAACTTATTTTGATCTGGTATTACTGTTAAATATCTATTTAAAACAAGAAAAAGAATTATTTTGCTTTAAATAAATATAAAAACAAACTCGCGGAGTTTTGAAGATTCATTTTGTCTATTTGATCTTCTTTCATGTTCAGCATCTTGACATAAATCAGAATAAAAATTTCTTGCTGAAATTAATTTTGGACCTCGGCCAAGTGGAACAAGACCTATTTCATCAGGATTACGAGCATCATAAGCTAAATTTCCTGATATTAATAATAAATCGTGTGTACCAATTTTTGCTAAGATTCCTTGTTTACAAATTCTGTTATTAAGTTCATCCTAAAAAAAAGATTTATTTAAATACTAATTTTGATATTTAAAAAAACTAAATGAAATTTACTTGAAGATTTATGTACTTTTGTAAATTCCCAGTTGCCAAATTAATATTTTTGACAATACAACATAAAATATGAGGACGAACTTTCATAACTCGACGTGATATTGTAACTAAAATAAAAATTGATATACAGCCTAAAGATAAAAAAAAAAAAACTTTGTCTTCCTGCTAAATCTCCTGGTTGATGAAAACGTAAAATTTCAATTTTATCTTGATTTTGTAGAACTTGTTGCTCTAGATCTTCTTCTAGTTGTTGTTCTTCCTCGATTTGTTGTGTTGTTTCTTCTTTTAATTTCAGCCACGTGGTATAATAACTGCATAGACCTGTTAATGCACTAATAACTGCTTCAGCAGCCTACAATTATAACGGTAAATGTACAGTTAATATATATACCATGTAATTCTTACTTACATATAAATATTTTAAAGGTTTATAATCATGAATAGATGAACCGATAAATGAACTAATAAATATATAAGCACAAACAGCAACACGAAAACCACGTTCCTGAAAAAAAATGTCTGGCAAAAATTATTTTTAAAAATACAAAATTTATAAATATTACCTTCTGCAAGAAATGGTGTAATTGATTTACACCATCCTTGCAGAGAAATAGCGATACCGCACATATAATAATACGTATTAAGTAAATGATTAAAACAGTAATGATTGATGATAAACGAATGAAATGGTTGACATATAAGTTAAATATTTCATTTGAAGAAATATTGTTTTTCATCAAAAAAGTTTCATTTGCAAAAATATTCTTTTTTAATTCGATCATGTACTTCATTGGTATGGTAAATTCCATAGTAATATATGCGATAATAATAAGCTAGAAAAAAAAGATAAGAAAGTCGTTACATTATATATATACTTACTACTTCAAATGTTTTAAACAATGCTTCAATTAATTTTGCACGTGATTTAGAGATTTGTTTTTCTTTGACAATTTTATACCGAATGGTGCTAAAACATTCGTATATTGTTATTCGTATTGGATCAGACATTTTTATCTACAAATTATAAAACAATTATTTTTTGTTTTTGAGATGAAAAACTGGTTCTTTGAGAGCTCATCATGCGTTTAAAATAAAAACGAAAATTAAATAAAAACGAAAATTAAATAAAAACGAAAATTAAATAAAACAAAGAGTGATAATTGGTTACGCAAAAAAAGTCCTCTTACAAGTATAATTATAGAATTTCATAGAGGACGCTTTATGTTAAGAAGAAAAACCTTTCCATATTTTATTTATTGTATTAATTCAAAATTTGTTGAATGGTATTCTCGTCTTGAAACATTTCTTGTATTTTTTATTACCAATAAATTAACTATTAATAAAGAAGATCCAAATTGAATTATTTATCTTCTTTGTCAACAGCATCAAAATGATAAGTCGAAAATGTTATGCACCTATCGGATTTACTATATTTAAGGTCCATAAAGATGTTAATAGTTCTAACCATGATAAATTAGAAAACATTATAAGAAGAATTTCATTTAGTATGGTTTCGAATATTGTTATCATATTACTCTGATAATTTTCTAGCAATTTCATATAAACAAGAGTCAAAATAATGTTATAAAAACAAATCAAATATTAAAAAGATCTTTTTTTTCGAATTTATATTTGTAAAAAAGAAAAAAAAAAAGGCAATTTCGATTTTTTTCTATTATACTACATTCATATTATATAGTAACGGGTGGCGCATAACGAATGAGTCTCACTATTTTGATTATAATTTTTTTTCTTTTTGACCCTTACAGCTGCTTGTTTTTCCAAAAGACGCGCCGTGAAATTCTCTACAAAATCTTGATCAAGCGTATTTCTGTAGAAAGTTAAGGAAAAAAATTAAACGAAGAACATCAAACATGTATAAAGTGCCCAACTTTCAAGGTGAAAAATCGTCTTCTCCAACTACTTTCATTAAACTGAATGAGGTAAAAAGACAAAAATATATGCATTTTGTAGCCCTTGAAAATCGCTATCAACCGGTGTTATTAGTGAACAAATGCTAAATCAGTCGTTGAAACTTGTATTAATTTTCTTCTCTTTCAGACTTTCCAAAATTCAGCTATCTGGATCTGTAGTTTTCGAAGCTCCGGGAAAACGTCTTACAACTAAGCCAACATAGCACCTTTTGAGGTCGGGTTTTTTTTCATTTTAATAAGAAATTACTCCTTTACTGGGTTCAGCGACGAAATTGTACCTTAATCATACTTTAAAGTGTTCTCCGTAAATTCAACTGGCAAAAAACATCACATCTTGATCATTTTGAAATGAATTTGGAATATTAGTTTTTTTAATGCTCACTTTGATCTTGAACAAACTGTGAGCTGTAAAGCGAGAAAGAACACACTTCAAAGTACTTAACAGTATCTTCACTTTTGTTTTGTTGTCCTTAGAGTTGGTAAAAATAATCAAAAACTTGTGTATCAAAACAGCTTTGAAAGTTGGGCACTTCATACATGTTTGATGATCTTCGTTTAATTTTTTTTTCTTAACTTTCTACAGAAATAAGCTTGATCAAGATTTTGTAGAGAATTTCAGGCGCATCTTTTGGAAAAACAATCAGCTCTAAGGATCAAAAAGAAAAAAAGTTATAGTCAAAATGCTGAGACTCATTCGTTATGCGCTACCCGTTACAGCTGACTTCGACAAAGAATTATAACATTTTACGGGTTATCGGAAAAAATATGTATTTGAGGCAGAAATAACGACACGCTGAATTTTTTCGATTACTTCTCTGCCATAGTATCGCTTGATCTCATATTTATAGTGCAGATACATGTGATGTTGCTCTTTGTGTGCTAAAAGTTTCAGCTATAAACATAATGAACTTGTTGAAAAAACTGCAATATTGTTTTCTAATAATCCCCGAAATTTTTTAGTTCTTTGTTGAAGTCAGTTGTAATACTTCAAAACAGTTTTTGCCTATGCCTTTCTTATGATTATGAGCTATGAATATTCTTCTATCGATGATAAAAATGCAGCCCAGTAAGTCAAAGAGCAACATCACATGTATCTGCACTATAAATATGAGATCAAGCGATACT